TGTAAAATATAAGTACATGTAAAATATAAGTACATGTAAAATATAAGTACATGTAAAATATAAGTACATGTAAAATATAAGTACATGTAAAATACATGTAAAATATATGTAAAATGCAATATACGTTACAGCTGCAGATTTCTAGTATTATCAAAGTTTGCCATGTGTCGTACCTATGTGTCGTACCTATTCTACCCATTCTACCAAAGTACAGATTACAGATTACAAAAAAATACAAAAAATACAAAAAATACAAAAAAAAAAATACAAAAAAAAAGCGTACAGATGACCGCATTGTACAAGGATATTTTAAGGGATTCATAAAGTAGAAAACATTCAAAAAAAACTTTGTACATAACTGGCGGCTGATTTTGTACGCATTTGTAAGTTTTTTGTACCATGGGAAATGTCAAAGGAAAGGTATGACAAATTGTCAAAGAGATAATTAAAAAAAAGGGTGTAAAAGGTGATGAGAAAGAAAAGATGGGCATAGAAAAAGATGAACATAGATATTCAAATAAATAACAACAAAGAAAAAGATTTACCGACATTATAATGTTATTAACGGACATTCCCCTTAACGAACAACCGAAAGGATACAACAAAAGTTAGTAGAAACTAAAATAGAAAAAGGATTAAATTAGGATTTCCAATACACATAAAGTCTAGAAATGAGTCTAGAAATGAAGTGGGCTAGGCGGCATTTCACGAAATGGGAATCGGCCAACGCGTAGTTGCATATTGATCGATCTCTTATTAATGGACCATTTTTTATGCGTGGTAGAGAATGGAATGCTTTAAGTACATTGTTCATAACTTTGTCATTAATCAGATAAGGTAATTTTGTGATTGCGTCCATGAACATCCATGAACACTTGGGTAACACAAACTAATCAGCCAAAGGATTTGATGTGTGGCGTCACGAATCTTGCATTTCCTGTTACGTATGAATGTTATGAATAATAATGTTATGAATGTTGTGTTGTGAATGTTAAAAAACCTTGGTAGAAAACTTGATATATATGATATAAATCAATAGATATATAATAGGTATATAAAAGATATATAATAGATATATAATAGGTATATAAAAGATATATAATAGAAATATAATAGAAAATAATAGATATATTAATAGATATATCAATAGATATATCAATAGATATATCAATAGATATTGGATAATAAATTAACAGGATTTGCGCATGCAAATTAATAAAAAATGTAACCTATAACGTAATCATATAACTGTTAACCAAATATGTCAATTAATCGTGTGATATCTTGGATATCCAAGGATATCCAGAGATAAGTTAATAATAGTCGTTATCAACCAGATTATTCTCGCTTTCTCTTACTTATTCGGGGTCATTTTATTTTCTTTGTTCATTATCGATATTATCGATATGTTCCACGCGATTAGGATTGAATGCTATTGAATGCCAAGTGAGTGGTATGTGCGGACTACTTTTTGTTCTACTTTATTTCTGCTTTATTCTGCTTTATTCTGCTTTATTCTACTTTTGTAATGATAATCAGGGTAAGCCCACGCGATTTATGTTTAAATGTTCATGAGTACATGCCTCATGATTTATAACAAGCATTGATAAAAATGATAGATGACTTGCATTAATTTCTTGATCCCACGCTAGAAAAAACGCCATCTTTTCTGATGTCATTAGGCATTTACAATATTTACACGTACGTACGTACTTTATCTGTTATGTACTTGTTATGTACTTACCTTTTTATCACCTGCATCACCTGCATCATTTGTATCACCCTACGATTAACGTTAACTTACGATTAACTGCGATTAACCTCCGATCGTATCATAATCACATTTCACGTGATCGGAGGTTTTTCGATTATAATTCTTTATTATAATTCTTTATCGTTATATAATTCTTTATTCTCTTTATTCTCCTGAAAACATTCTTTATGTAAAAAACAATACCTTGAATCCTGGAATTTGTTTATTCTGATTATTATATTATTTTATGATTTTCATTCATTATTTTTCATTCATTATTTTCTTATTTTAATTATTGATTTATCCTCTTAAAAATACAGTAAAAATTTTACTAACAAAAAAAATTTACTTAATCGATATTACAGTATTATACAGATTATACAGATTGTACGTATTGATATATTGATATATTGATATGTTGATATGTTGATATGTTGATATGTAGGTAAGTAACGTACATACGACATACGTACGTACGTACGTACGTACGTATGGACATATTTTTTATGGATATACACTTATCATTACAGCATTACGTATGGATGTTATGGATATTATGGATATTGTACATACTTGCGCATCCTCGATCGTCATGAATTGAATGAAATTAGTGGAGAATCAAGGTGACAAATTTGAGTGATGCTTCAATTCGGTCAAACTTTACACAAGGGGGGGAAAAGATTATAAGGCATGGATGGATCATACAGAAACTCTAGGTTTTTTTTTTTCTTTGTTCTCATGGATGAGCCGTGTAATCAAAACATGCCTAAACCTGTCTTGTTCTCCCAAATTGTGTTACCAAAAAAGTCTCTTCAGAGAATCTCTGTATGGGCCTTCTGTATACGTTTTTCTTTGTCAAAGATTACCGGCACCAGACTCATTTTAAAGTTGCTGGTGATCAGAGATATCACGCAAATAAAATCCTTTAACTAAAATTCACTGGCCGAAAAAAAAAACTATACCAAAAAAAGTTAGTCATTAAATTTTTAAATGAGACCGTGGTGTGGCACGCTTTTTTTTAACTTTTCCATGTAGAAAAATGGGATTACACGAAAGTGAAATGATTTTATATATATGTAATAAATGACTATATATATAATAAATATAATAAATATAATAAATTTATATATAATGTGGTGACTATATGTAGTGACTATACTATATTATTACTATTCCGAATTTTTTTTATAATAATCTACATTTTAATTACTGTATTTTAATTTTAATTTATTTATTTATGCTATATATAATTTATACAATTTATACGCTTCACATTCTAAAATGATTTTTACTTTATATGTATAAAAAATCCTTTTTTCTATGCATGAGTTTTTTTTTTTCTATAAATACGTGCTAGTATTTTTTTATTTTTTTCTAAAATTTTTTTTAAAAAAAAAAAATTCTTCTCGTTGAGTAATTAGCACGAATTACCTGTTAATTTTGTGCTTGTATATAAAACTATTTTTCTGGTGAAACTCGGTTGTTGTTCCCTTTTAAAGGAAAAAAAACTAGACTACGATATAAAAAAAAAACTAATATATAAACGAATAGTGGAAACATAACTTATACGTAATAGAGTTACCTTAATACAAAATGCTCGTCCCAAAACGTAATGCACTTTCTTCTGAACACCTTATTACCTGTGAACGAGTACGTTCTTTTTATAACTTATGAAAACTATGAAAACGTTAACGTTAAGAAACAAACTAACTCTCTGAAACTTCTGTAACTTTTATATTTCTATCCTTTATGTATATCTTTTTAGACAATGCTCAAGTTTGTAGACAACAAACTAAGTTCAAAAATTGGAATGAAATTTAAAGTATGGGATTGGCAGATACCAGAATTATATGGAATAGTTTTGGGAATGTTTGTAAAACTTGGACTAAAGAATACTCTTGGGATTCGTAAATCTGAAATGTTGGATTTTATTATCGATGTTGAAAAAGGCTATTTCAAAACTTCCTATCATTCTTTTTATCATGCTGTCGATGTAGTGGCTGTCCTTTATTATATTCTTACCGACTTGGGTGCTGCAAAATATCTAACTTCTTTGGATGCAATCTGCTTACTTATAGCCGGTTTATGTCATGACATAGGTCACGTAAGTATCTATACATAATATAATTTAATATAATATAATAATATATATATATATATATATATATATATATTATTTAATATAATATATTTGGTATACAATATACATACAATACATACATATCAAGTAATATAATACATACTTATATATCAAGTATATGTAGTACATATGTATGTGTATATGTATGTGGATACACGCGATATATAAATATATATATAATTTACTAATAATTCTTTGTTCTCTTCTATTTTTATATATTAGCCCGGTCTGAATAATGTGTATCAGGTTAATGCACGAACAGATCTCGCTATTAGATATAATGATCAATCAGTATTGGAAAATCATTCTTGTACTCTTACAATGGACATTATAACAAACCATGGACTTTTTCGCAATGTACATTCTTGTAGTAACGAATATTTGGGTTGTGATCCAAAAAATGTTGATATCGTTCTCAAAGATTTAATAACTAAAACTATCTTGGCAACCGACATGTCTTATCACTTTGATTTATTAGAATCTTTACATAATATGATAAAATCTATTTCTCCTTGTTCCTCTGAAGAATCCGGTGAAGAAATTGATAATGATTGTACTTCTTCTGCTTCTTCAATATCTTCTTCCCCTGAAAATTCTGCTGCTTATATAAAATCTTCAAGAAGGTATCAACCCCGCTCTCGAAGGCGTGCTTCCATTATCTCCACCACTCTAGATTCTGAACAACGTGAACTTTTATTAAAAGTTTTACTACACGCTGCTGATCTTAGTAATACTGTTCGTCCTTGGGATATTTCTAAACGTTGGTCCGATTTAGTTGTTGATGAATTCTTCCATCAAGGCGATCTTGAAAAACAAAATAATCTTCCTGTTTCCCCTAATATGGATAGAAAAAAAGCTCATCAATGTCAAATAAGTCTTGGTTTTGGTGACTTTGTTGTTAAACCTTATTTTGAAGCTTTTGCTTCATTCTTACATGAAGCTACGATTTTTTTGGACATTTTGGCTGAAAATCGTATTCTTTGGGATGATATGAAAAATGCTCCTCCACCTCCTCCAACATTATTAACTCCTATTCCTGATGAATCGGAATCGGAATCTTCTAATGAGGTTAACGACGATGATTATTGTCCTAAAGGACAACGCCGTGTCAGTTTAGCTGCTGGTTTATTAATTATTCCGGATGATATACAAGAAAAATTACGCTTAATGTCTTTACAACGTCATCCTAAACATCACAGAAAACTAAAACGTAGTCTATCTGGTCGTTCATATAGTCATCATGCATTATTACCTTCTCTTCACATATCTGATGATGACGATGATGATGATGGTGATGATGATTATGGGGATGATGATTCTCGAAAACCAGCAGGAATGAAAAAATCTTGTGACCCAAATTCTACCAATGATCATGATGAAAATTCATCTTCAACTTTAAATCCATCTTCATCAGATTTAATAACTAAACCAAATTCAACAAATTCACATTACACTAATGGCAAAAAATCTAATAATCAGAAAAAATTGGGTAGGATGAGACGTAGTAGTTCTTTAGATCATAACATGATTAGACAAATAACTTCTTCATATGGTACTGGTGACTCTCAACCCGAGCAAAGGGTCGTTGTAGCAGGAAGTTAGAATGCACACAATTCTCCTCATTTTCTTTTTTTTTGTTCATATATACAAATAATCATATATACATATGTACATTCTCTTTTCCCACTCTTACTCGTGTTTATAACTTTCCCTTATTTCCATTCTCCTTTTTTTTTTTTTTTTTTTTTTTTTTTTTTAGAAAAATAAATGGTTTTTATTTCATTAAATATAGAGTTTTTTTACATAGACAAAAAAAAAAGTTTTTTTTTATAAAATTTAATTATACGTGAGGGATAAAATTTCATTCGCGTATAACATCTAATATGATTTGTATTTTTCTTGTATATAATATTTTCTTATAAATTTTAAATTGGGGATTTTTTTTTTTTCTAAAGTCTTGAACGATTGAAGCAAATAATAATAATAAAAATATTGTCAAGTCTTGAGTTTTTTTTTTGCAAGAATGGTTTTAACAGTTACGTAGTAAATTACCGTTTGTAAATATTGCTAATGCATGCTTGTGAATATTGAACTATTGAAATATTGAAATACGTATTGAAATATTATTGAATATTGAAATACGTATTGAAATATTATTGAATATTGAAATATTGCTACGTAAATCATTAACGTTAACGTTAACGTTAATTCATGCTTGTAAATTATGTTAATTCATATTCGTTAATTCATATTCGTAAATTCATATTTGTAAATTCATATTCGCAAATTCATATTCGCAAATTCATATTTGTAAATTCATATTTGTAAATTCATATTTGTAATTCTATTGATATTTGTATTCATATTACATTTGTTTGATATCCAATTTCACGATTTTCTTCAACTTTTTTTCGACTGGTAATTTCGGTTAATTGAAACAAGTTACAATTCATGCAAATTCATGCAATTCTGATTCCGATGATTCACCATGCGGCAGTGAAAATCTTTAAAAATGTTACACAAATGTTACAATTCGAAGTTTCGAATACGTAAAAGAATTTGTGTAATAATCTGAGCCTCATGGCAAAGATTAAACAAATGAAAAAGGATAATTTTTCGGGAGGCGTGCATTATTTTGTATTGTTTGTTATCTAGACTCTTTTTTTTTTTTTTTTTTTTTTTTTAAGCATGCTCGGATCTTTTTGAAAATAATTGCTAATTATTTCACCACCACTTTTATTTTTGATTCGTTCGTTTGGTTGTAGTAAAAAAAAACGTAACTCGAGAAAATAATTTTAAACAATTTAACTGTTTATTTTAATATTATGCTTAAGGATTCTCGGCTGTTTTGTGGTGTTCTAACCGTTGCACATGAAATCCATGAAAATTTGTATAACAAATTAATATAACGCGTGATGTATATTTTTTGGTTATTATATCTAATATAATAATAATAATAATAATATTATTATTATTATTATTATAACAGATAATGTTTTACGTACGATACGTACGTATCGATATACTATCTGCTATACTGTATACGCCGTATATGTATACTTACATACGACTGTATATACTGTATATACTCTATAGACCGTATAAATACTGTATATCTGATATATACATTTATACATACGTACGTACGTATTAGAATGAACCTTAAGGTGCGTATTACCAACTGTTCGGAATGACAGACTATTAAACTATTAATTGAAATTAATAGGTTACACTAAACATGTAGATCCAAACGTACGTTACTACGTGCGCAGGAAGGATTAAACATATGCAAGATAACATAAAACTTTTCACGGAGAATGCGTGAATAGATGATCTTAAAATGTATACGTACGTATAAAAATCCTTAAAAAGAAAACGCGATCGAATTTCAAAAATTTTCCTATGTTTCATAATACGTATCATAAAACTATATATCTGATATATACGTAAAAATATACGTAAAAATATACGTAAAAGTGATTGGTTATTGCAGTATTCAACTTATTCAACACAACTTAACTTTGATTTGATAAATTTCCCTTTTTTTCATATATACTACTTTTATATCAAATATCATGTTTACATCCTGTAGTTTTACATCACGTTGTTTTATATTAGGTTGTTTTACATCATGCCGTTTTACATCAGGTTGTTTTGCATCATGTTGTTTTATACGTATCAGGTTATTCTTGTTGCCCTTATTAATCCCATTCAATTCATTCGATTTATTCGATTCATCCAATTCATTCGATTCATCCAATTTATTCAATTCATTCGATTCATCCAATTTATTCGATTTATTCGAATTCATTCGAATTCATTCGAATTCATTCAATTCATTCAATTTATTCAATTTATTCAATTCAATTTATTCAATTCATTCAATTCGGATAAATATCTTTACAATTGTTTGCATTTAATAAATACAATTTAAAATATCTGTATATCCATATAAAATAATTTCTCATATCCGGTTTATATATGTATCATTTCGTATTACCGTTATACGCATGATAAATTCTATTGAAATTGATATTGAAATTGATATTGAAATTTGATACGTATTGAAATTGAAATACCGATACAGTATTCAAATTATTATTATTATTATTATTATTATTATTATTATAACGATAACGATTTCTTATTAAAAAAAAAAGGCCAATGAATGAATGAATCAATGAATAAATTATTTGGGTTAACCAACAAGATTATCATGATTATCAATACAGTATATTCATATTTTGTAATATTAGGCACTTACGTACGTAATTTTTGTTATTTCTTAATTGAAACGGTTAAGCAAAATATGAGTCATATGATTATATATATAACGATCCATTCAATTACTACGTATCACTACGTATCACTATCGCTATTAATTATTAAAATAATAACTAATAAAAATTCTTATTTTACCTTTACCAATCAAAGATTTTGTATTATTTGTATATGTTTAAAAAAAACAAAAAAGAATTTTTAATTATCGTAATTGTTTGTATAGTAATGAGGTTTAAAATTTTAAAATTTAAATTATAAATATAAATTATTATATTTTTATTTTATAGTAATTATGACTCATGTTTAGTACCAAAAGCATTACTAAATAAAATTTTTTTTTTTTGAATATGAGACCATGTCTCTGTCTTTATTGAAATTTAATTAAAATCTTTTATACAGAAAAGAATTACAACTTAAACTTCATATCTAATAATAGCAAAAAAAGAAACTTATTACTAAATAAAATTTTTGTATATATATTATTAATTAAATTAATGTATTAGAGTTTTATCTTATATATAATATAATAACCACATATATATTAAAGTATATTAGTGGCAAACATGTATTACTTATATATTTGTATAATATAAACAGTATATAAAGTTGAGTTAATAAAAATCAAGCAAATTTTTTCAAGTAAATTTTTTTTAAACTTTAAACAACAATAACTTAACAAAATTTTAATTAAATTTAATAAAAATTTTTTTAAATAAAATTTTACAAACTTACAAAATTTATTTAAAAAAAATTTTATTTAATTTTTTTTTTTTTGGCATGTTCTGTTACTGTTTTATTAAGATAGTAACCAAGCAAAAATTACAAGAATTTTTAACTATAGTTAATCCTTCTTTAACTGCAACAAATGACTCACTTAGCTTAAAAGTCCAGATGTGATATTGCCTAGTGGCTGTTTACCTTCCTCCAGGCCTCTAACTTCTTAGAGGCATGAATCCTTTGATCATTGGCTGGTGCTACACACTATATCAGTATTATCTTTTCTTTTTACAAAATAAAGTACAAACATAAAATCAAAGAGCAAAAGAAAAAAAAAAAGGTGATATCTTAACATTCAATTTCAATTCATCTAATTAAAAAAAAATCAAAAAATATATAAAAGAAAAACAAAACAGAAAAAGAAAAAACAACAAAAATAACATTATTAAACCTATGTTAGATTATAAAAATTATATAGTATTACTAAATAATCTAGTCTAAACTCTATACTAGTTATTTATGTGTTTATATTGAGATATATAAAATATCTATTCTTAAATAAAGACCAAGTTCAAAATTTCTCTTGCAGTCTTATTAGGTTCAGTGTAGTATCTTGCAACGTATTTTCATGCTAAAGCTTGTCCCTAGCAAAATTAAGCAATTTACACTTTTTTAACTTCTGTAGGTCTCAGTGTAAACACTATAACTTTTAAAGTAACTGATCAGATGTTATTCATCTCAAAGTAGATGTGTACTTCTATATGTGACTTTTCTTTTTTGGCAGTAATTGTTATTATCAATCTTTTGATAGAAGTATATTGTTTTTCTCATTTTTTGATAAAAATTTTGTAAAGAATCAAGAGTAGAGCTTTGGTAGAGAGTTTCAGTTTGCAGGTATTCTTAAAATTCAGTAAAAAGTATGTTGAAAACTTGTTTGTTGTTTTTCTTAAACTAACTATCTTTAACTTTGTTAGCAGAAACAGAACTTCTATTAAAATTTTTTGTATAAAGGCAGCACCTTCTTGCAGTTATCTTGTACAGAAATGCTTTTAACTTGCATACTGAATATACAAAAGAGTTCAAAAAAAAAAAGAAAACCTTAACCTCTGTAAAAACCATTATTTGTAGTTGTTTCTTCTATTTTTCTCCAACAAGTTTCTGTTTTTGTTAGCTATAAGTTTGATACAAGTAATTGTTGAGAAGAGTTGTGACAAAAAATTGAAATTTTATTAAATTTAATCAAGTTTTGGTTAAGTTATTAATATATAATTTTTAAAAAAATTCAATAAAAACAATTTGCTTAATTTCTATTAACTTATTCTTATATTTTAATTCAACTTATTTATAGTATAATTATAATAAAGATATATTATATATAAGAGTAATAATATAGCAAAGTAATAGAATGTAATAACTTAGTGAAATTGGTAAGTTGTTGTATCTCCAAGTAGTAGAACAAGAGTTCGAATCTTACTGATAACAAAATTTGAATTTTACAGACTAGGTATTATAATAATAGTGGATATTAGACTATTCTAGCAGATAATGTACTTGAGGATATGTCAGAAATAGCTGTTCTATAGATGAACTGTGATGATTCTGAAACTTAAACTAACAAATATATTGCATGTTCTAAGTAATTAGTTAAACAGATTGGTATAGAAAACTTGGATCAGAAGGTTTAATTAGGTAACTCAAATAATAGGTAGATTATAAGTACAGCATCTATTATAAAACTTAGTAATAGGCAAACTATTTAAATTAGATACTCAAAAGGAACAGATATAGCTAGAATATATTCTTATCAAAATGTATTTGTCTGAAGCCTTTTTGAAAAAAAGTACTATATGATTTTAATAAATCTAATAAAAGTGATAAACCAAAGAGGTTAACTTTGACTATAAAAAAAAAATCACTGTGTATTTATATAATAAAGAAGTTATATAAAAGCATACAAGCTAGTTTAGTTGATGCAAACTTAAGATAAGTCCTTAAAGGTTACAGAAAGTCAACAGAGCTGATATGATGATAGGCACTTACTTAGCAAGTTCTGAATAAAGAAATAGCAAAAACTTTTGATAGTATTACTAGAATAGGCTTCACCTAAGATTAACATAACTGAACAAAGACTGGATATTTGGAGAAAGATACTTTATCAATTAGGCTACTAGAATGCTGAAGAAAAAGAATCTGCAATGCAAATACCAAAAAATTGATATCCCTTTTAGGCTATCTGAGTTGGTAGTCTAGAAAGACCAGCTAGAGAATACTGAGAGAAAAGGTCCAAGTTGTCTTAAAAAAAAGTACTGGAGTTTAAGTAAATTCTACAAAAACAGAAGTAGGTTGTATAGCAACAATCAGATCATAGTATAGTTAAAATATTATGAAAAAACTGACAATTACAAAATAGTCAAATAATACTTCTGCTATAAAACTGAGGTACAAGTAGTAGGTCTTGGCCTGTGCATATTAACTAAAGACTAGGTCAGCCAGATTGTAGGTATAGAAAGCTTTAACAGATTTTATCTTGAGAATAAAGAATTTTAAAGAGCCTGCTTTAGAGTTTTAAGTCAGGTATCTGAAAATAAGAAGATATTAAGTACTCTTATTTGATTAAAAGATTAATATATATAGGTATAGAGAACTTAAATAGATAAACTTCTAGTTGAGTTATAGGTATAACATTTAGTATAAAACTTAATAATAAGCAGACTACTTTGATAAACAACCAAAAGTTGTATATATGATTAGTTATACTCTCAATAGTATTGGGATCCGTTTAACTAAATATCCGGATATCCGCAGATCATCCGGATATCTGGATACTTAATTTAATTTGTGGATGTTAAATCCGGATGTCTATATCGGATCCATCCGGATAATCATCTGGATAGTTATATAATATTATGAGTGATATTCGAATAATTAACCATGACTGGTCGTATGCCGTAAAATTTATTAGAACAATTCTACTGCATCTCTAATAGTAATATTACATAATTAATCATATAACAATCAGTGCTCTTATCATTTCGATAATAATATTATCACAATGACTAGAATACTGGTAGTTATATGATTAATTATGTAATATTATGATTCATCAGAGAATAAAATTTTATTTACAGGCTTTCTCCCTTACACACCTATCTATGACAAAATCTCTTGAAATTATTATTTACACGCATAAGATATTATACTTTATTAGTAATAGTATTGGATTGTATAAACAATTGCACCATCATTATTATTTTATGCATTGTATACTAATTCTATAACTACTATACAAAATTTTGCTCTGGGATCATATTAAATAACAAGTATTTTGCGGCTAAATAATTTGGTTAGCTTTTTCAGAGCAAAGCAATTAACTAATTTAGTTTTTCTTAGAAGAAATCACGTTTGAAAAGTATATGCTCTTATATAATATGTTTCTTTTTAATATGAAGATAAACTATTTTTAAGTATAATTATATACAATAATGCAAATATCTACAAGAAGGAATTGTTTTTTATTAAAATTAGAAACCTGTTGTTTATATACATTCAATTTGGCATACGTAGTGATTGTTTTTTATTAAAATTAGAAACCTGTTGTTTATATGCATTCAATTTGGCATACGTAGTGATTGTTTCAAACTAAGATTTATTAACTTAATTGAAGATTTTAACCCCTAGCATATATTTATAACCTCAATCGTGTATTAATTATATTATCAATACTTTTCCAAAACTAACTCATAATAGAAAAGAATTTTTAGTATAATAGCAGAGTATAATGAACGTTTGCAGGCTTCTTAAATTATTTATATAGAATGCATATAATAGATATATAGAGGTTGAATAGAAGCACAAATATGTGATTTGTATATTTTATAAATAAGTAATCTACTGTATTAAAGTAAAACTATATACTTACAAACCAAATTATTTATACTGGTAAAATGTGAATTTATAGAGTGTAAACTTATTTATACGTAAACCCGTAGCATACTATAATTTATAAAGTATGAACTTCAAAATAAAACTTATATTTATTTATAAATATAAAGTGTTAAATCAGATTATTAATAAGGATTTAAACATGAAATTACAGTGTAAACTAATTTATTTGTGAATGCAGTTACATTAAAACGAAACAAAATTAAAGTATAATTCAAATCAATTTGTAAGCCAATTTATACTTTAAAATTAAATATAAAAAGATCTGTCATTAATAGTAAAAAAAATTATACGGTAAAAAAAAAACATGAACTTCAATAAAAAGCAAAAAGTTGTAAAATCAAATACTGAATCTCAAGAAACCACCGAGTTTTCAAATAATGAAAGTATTGAAACTCAGTCTGATAATGAAGAAAGTAAATCTGATACTAGTGAAGATCCATCCCAAAATTTTAAATCTATTCCAGATGGATATAGACCTTTATCAAAGACAAGTGCAAGCAAATTAGGCAGTAAAGTTTGGAATTACTTTCAACCTTTAGAGCATATAGCAACTGGAAATCGTGTTGGATAGTGCCCATTAGAAGTTATTCGAAATCGTCAAAAGCAAACTTGTAATACAATTTGTAATACAGGTGGATCAACAAGAAATATGTGGGATCATCTTTCAAGTATACATGGTATTACTAAAAATTCAAATCTAAAATCAAAAGATCAACAAAAAATTAGTATTATGTTTAAAACCTCAGCTACTAATTTAAAGCGCCAAACAAAACAAAATCAATCTTTAGTTGAATGGATTATTGATAGCGCACAAGCATTAAGAGTTGTAGAATCAGAAAAATTTAAAGTATTTATTGCTAACTTGGATCCTTATTATGAACTGCCTACCCGTAAAGCTATTAAATCAATGATACACACAGCTTATAATTTTTCTTCTAACATTTTAAAACAAAAGTTAAAAAATACTGCAATTTCATGTTTACTTACATGTGATCTTTGGACTAGTAGAAACCGTGAAGCATATCTTGGTGTCACTTGTCATTGGATTGATCAGAATTTTAAATTAAATGAAGTTTTGCTTACTATTACACTCTGTTCCTATCCTCATACAGCAGAGAATATTCATGATGACTTAATTAAAATTATGGATAATTGGGATATATCAAATAAAGTAAATACAATTACTACTGATAATGCCCAGAATATGGTTAAGGCTCTTAAATTAATGGAAGCACAAAGTATTAGTCGAGTTAAATATACAGCTCACACACTACAATTAGTTGTAGGAAAAGGTTTAATTCCAGCCAAGATTCTTATTGCTCGTACAAAAAGACTACTTGCATTTTTTATGTCTCCAAAGCAATCAGAAAGACTTGAAGATGCGCAAAAAAAGTTGCTAATTTCTGAAGATAAGGTTAGTTTTATATATTTGGTCAATTGCAATTTAAATCTTAATATGTAATACTAGCATAAAAACTAGATTTTAATTATATATATATGCAGTATAATTAATTACAGGTTTCACATACCAAGTTCGTACAAACTGGCAATCAAATTTGTACATACAGCTAAATCAGCTAAATTAATATCCTAATTAAATAGTGATTTCTTATGATCTAGTAATTATACTCACGTATTTTTAGTACTATTGGATTCGTCATGACAAGACAAATCTAATGGTACTAAAATTACATAAATATATTTACTAGATCATGAGAAATCACTATTTAATCAGGATATTAATTTAGCTGTATATACAAATTTGATTGTCAGTTTGTACGAACTTGGTATGCAAAACCTATAACTAAATTAAGCATTATTGCATTATTGTTATTATAATTAAACTATATATATATATTATATTATTTATTATTAGTAATAAAGTATAACATTAAATTAATATAAAACCTATTTATTTATTAAACTAAAAGTATTTAGTACAAATTAGTTATAGAATACAAAATTCATAAAACTAATTAAAATTAAATTTTTTATTTGTTAGATACTTAGAAAGACTCATAAGTATTTACGCATTATTCAAGATACTGAAACAAGATGGAACTCTTCCTATCTTGCATGGAGACGTCTTTTGCATTTACAAAATGCAATAAATTTGGTAAAAGTAACAATTGCACAATCTAATGATCTTCAAACACGAAAAGAATCAAAACGCCTTCAACAAATAATGCTTACTGATTCTGAATGGAATGCAATTAAAGAATTAGTAATTATTCTTTGTCCATTCGCTGAAGCATCAACTTATTTAGATGCTAGCAAATCATCAATGATTGGATTTATTAATCCTACCTTATCTCATATCAAGCAAGATTTATATAATAAAAATTCTATATTGTATGATCTACCGGATTTAGAAAACTCAGATATGGCTTTTGATAATGAAATTGATGAAGATAATGAGTTTGTAATTTTACATAATCATAAACTAAATATTAATATTCCACAAGATTGTGATAACTTGGGGAAAAAAGTACAAGCTACATTGTACAAGGTAATTATTATTAGTATAATTCGATTATTTAAAGTTGATTAGCTAGTTAGTATTATCTTATTCATTAGTAATCTCTCTAAAGTTTAAGGTTTTACCACAAAATCCCAACATCCAAAATCTCGAAAACCATAATTCCGATATCATGCAACGTGATAATTAAAATTTGAAGATTGACAATAATTATTAATGTGATTACTAATCTTCAAATATTAATTGTTATATAGCGTGATGTCGGGATTATAGTTTTTGAGATTTTGGATATCAGGATTTTGTGATAGAACCAAAGTTTAAATACTCTATGATAAAATATATATTTATTTAAATCTCTCTTATACTTGAATTTAAAATATTGATAATATATTAACTAATCAACTTTAATAGCTTTGTAAAATAAATATAAGTAATCTGAAAAATATTGATAAAGCGAAAAATTATAAATTTATTAGTATTATTTACTTTATCAAAATTCTCTAAATTATTTATATTTATCTTATATTTTTTAAAACTTTAATCTTAATTATCATATATAATTTTAATTTATTTAGGCTCTTGAAACATATTGGAATTCTCCAGTTGATGCTGATTTATTACCTACATTATTAGACCCACGTCACAAACAACTCAAATTTGCAGATTCCTTAGATCGGAAATATGCTGAAAATACTTTAAAATGTATGTATAATAATAAGCACAACCAAAATTTTCAAGAAACTTCGCAAATGGCAAGTATTTTGGAATCTTATAGTTTAGATGAAGAATTATCTGCTAAATCTCTTAGAAAAAAACTTCTTTCTCCACCTCAAAATAATAATAATGATGAAGTTAAAAATTATCTTCAGCTTAGTGAAATTGATGTAGAATCAGATGTTTGTAATTGGTGGGCTACGCATAAAGATAAGTTTTCTACTTTGGCTATTTTTGCTCGTAAAAATTTAGCTATTCAAGCAACTTCAACACCAAGTGAGCGTTTATTCTCTAATGCTGGAATTGTACTGAGTAACCATCGAGTAAATTTAAATCCATTATTGTTTGAACGTATGTTATTCATAAAAAGAAATTCAACTTATTTAGGAAATTTTTGGCCAGCAAATAAGTAAAATTTATAAATTTAATTTTATTCAATTTAATATATAAAATTTTAGCTTATTTGATATGTAGAAGAGAAGTAAAATATATTTATAGAAGGAAATAAGATGGATTTTTCAGGGTTTTTTTTATTATAAATTTATTATTGATTATATTTTATTTTTATTCATTTATATTATTAAATAAATTAAAAAATATGAACAATCCACATACCAAAAGTTGAAGCTTAGTAAAAGTTTAAAGAATTATTAAAACTTCAAAAGTATTACAAAGTTACTAGATCTGTAGTTATTATTAAATAATTTCTCTAGAATTATTTTATCGCTTTTTGGTAGAATAGATTTATCGATTAATACTAGAATAACTACTAAGCCTGCCTTACTGTTATAATTCTTAGCATATTATAGTAATTCTCTGGTTTTGTTCTAGCAGTAGCAGAAGGTCTAGTTTTTTAAATATTGGCAAATACTTTTATAGTATTTACTAAATAAGTAGCTGCGTAACACAGTTGCGTGAAACCAGAAACGGACGACAACTCCAATACAGAATAGCTGTATAAGTTATAGTTTTGAATTCTGATAAATAAATATTGGGTATAAAACTAAATACAGCATAACTATATTGATATGTTATACTATAATTTAAACAAACAAAAAATTTCATGATTTTTAAATGTATATAGTATAGAGTGTAAAATACCCCTTTAAAAAAATATTATAACAACGTACTACAATTTTCCAATGCTAACCTTAATAATACATAGCGCCGGAACAGATATTAAAAATAGGGTATTTCACACCCTATGCCGTACAGATCTGTTCATAATAATCTGCATAATTTAGAAATGATCTTGGCAGATAATAATTATATATACTAACACAAGTTGAACCAATAGATATCGCGTACATGCTGGAGACAGATATCTTACTCTTAGTACTCTGGGCCTAAAAGTACCAATATTTTGCTAATATGTTACTGATATCGATTTACCTCTAAATATCTTGCCAATATGCTGCTAAAAATGCTGCTAATATTCAGAAAGTATTTGGCAGATCCATAGCCGACTATCAGGTACATATACAGAAACTTGTCTTCCGGTTATGCACCTGATATTCATTAATTCAACCTGCGTAATATGGATAAGAAGCTGAATGAGATATGAGCAGCGTAGATTAAATACTTAGACCAATGAATAATCATTAAACTTAGACTAAGAGTGCTCAACATGAGTAGATAGCTATCAAAATCATTCATAAGTACTACGATTAATGGAAGTGATGTCTACTGTAATTTTGCTGAAGTCTATGACAAAAAAGATCGCTTTAACCCTTTGTTTTTGCAATAATGAACCTACTTACCAGTTAAACAACTTTCCACCAATTAAAAATTGAGTTTTGACCAATAATTTATGTGCTTGTGAGAACCTTAAATCATATGAATAAAATTGAAATGAGAAATTAATTAATAGATATATTGATTGATAATGTTCAATTGAGTAAATAAGAAAATACTTAATTAAAACGGTTTTACCACAAAATCCTGACTTCCAAAATCTCGAACCCATAATCCCGGCGTGACAATTAATATTTAAAGATTAGTAATCACATTAACAATCATTGTCAGACTTTAAATGTTTAATTATCACATCGCGTGATGTCAGTATTATGGCCTGTCGAGATTTTGGATTTCAGAATTTTGTGATAAACCCAATTGAAACATCATGTGAAAACCTAACATTATTTCAAAGAATTTTGTAGACCAATTTCAACCCATTAAAGTTTTTTAAAGCTGTTAACGCTCGTATGGCTTCTTTAAATACTATTGCTTTAAAATCATCATTACTGTAGTAACGTTCGATATTATTTACTACAACTTGAGCCATGGCCAAGTCATGTTCTAGCCATAACACAATTCGTGGCTTCAATAATCATCGTTATGATTTAATCCGAAGCTATGTGATTCAGTTGCAACTAATGCTTAGTCATAGCTTAAGTTGCAGCTCATCAGCTTTGGTCATCTTGGCTCCATTGTGCATGACAGTAAATCCGGATTTGGTTAGTTCTATTCCGAAAGACAATAATAAAAAAACTATTGATGTCATTAACTTCAGACAAAAACCTGTTAAAGCAATAAAAATATAAGTTGAACGTTCGCTATGGTTAAACAAATCTTATACAGTATTATATATGGTAATGCATAGCTAGCATTATCGCATCATAATAATATCGTTATGTAATGAAGAAAGAATCATGTGAACTGATTTCAGCCATTACAGATTAAATTCAAAACTTTTGCGCCAAAATCCACATTTGGTTAGTGAATTCTAAAAGACAACAAGCGCATTTTTATAAATGATCGTCATGCACTTTAATTGAGACAAAAACTTGTTAAAGATACATTCGCACAGTACAAGATATAAATATGGTAGTACATGATACATTTCATGATGTTTAAGTACAAATATTCACGGTTTTATCGCATTTAGCACATTGCCCAATCAGATGAGATTTTTGCAGATGTACATCATTAAAAATGCCTTCTAATCAAAAAACCAAGACAATAAATAGCAATTGTTGTAGTTAAATCGATGGCCAGACAAGTAAGGAAATTCAACACATTATTGTAAATAATATTGCTCATACAATAGAACAATGTTTTCGGGAGATCATACCACATCATCTTATCGCAACACTAAGCAGCATTTCCAATGCTTAGTTCTATTACAAAATCCTAAAAACCATTTCCCAAAAGAACAATACTGACTAAATTGGGCAACATTATAACTAATGCCGGCTAACTTTGTCGGTATTAAGTCCTTTCAGGAATCTGTCTTTCGGAATTTTGTGGTAAAACCGTATTAAATAATTTAAATACTACATAATTACAGATATATTCAAAGAATATGCAATATTGTAAATTTATATATAAAATCCGGATATATCCGGATGGATATCCGGATTCTATATTTTAATTTAGAAGGATATCCGGATGGATGTTTTTTGAAACAGATGTTAATCCGGATATCCGAATTGTCATCCGGATCCCAACACTAACTCTCAAAATATATATAGTATAGTATATCATACTATAAAAGTTAATAATAATCAAATAAAAAGAAAAAACTAAAAGATTATCTTAACATCAAAAAAAAAAATTTTTGTTTTTAATATAAGTCTCAATTTTTATAAATAAATTACAAAAATTGTAATAATGAAAATTATTATTTTTTATATAAGCTAAAATATTATATTAAGAACTATATCTTTAAAATTAATATTTAAAGAATTCACTAAGAATAAATAAATAATTTTTTTATTAAAAAATTTTTTCAAAATTTGTTTATTTTTATTTTATAAATAACTAAACCTTTTTTTCTTATAAAATAAAATTAAATACTGCTATAATATAGTTCTTATTTTTAAATTATTAAAAAAAAATTATTTAAATATATTAAAATTAAAAAAAAAGTAGATAAAAGAATGTAGTGACTTAGTGAAGTAGTCAAGTTATTACTCCCAAGCAGCATATCTAGAGTTTGAATCCTGCTGTTAGTGAATCTTCAAATTTCTATTTGTATAATCTTCCTAGATAGGGTGGTGTTATATATAGTATTCATCAAAGTTGGAACTCAGTTCTGTAACCTAATATATACCAATTTAACCAAATTAGAAAGACTTATAAGGCTTTCATATGGGGCACATCAAACTAAAACACAGCTTATAGCTTTTTTTAAATTTTGAGAAAGTCACATTTAAAATTTCATGTAATAATAATAATGACGATCTATTATTAGTACCGTAGATTCCCGAAAATAAGCTACCATTTTTTGGCCGATTTTAAGCTCCAAAAATCGGGAGTAGCTTATTTTTGGGTAAAAGCGGATTTTGCTTGATTGCAGAAAAATTTACTAAGTAAATCGGCATGACTTATTAAGTGAAAGTTATTCAGGAGATCAAAATACATATATTCTGAAAATTTCATGTAAATCGGATAACTTTTTATTAATTGACTTTTGATTTTTACGTTAAACGAATATGAATTTTAAAGAAAATATAAAAAATTTGTCGAACGTAACATGCAAAAGTCAATTAATAAAAAGTTATCTAATTAATATGAAATTTTCAGGATATATGTATTTTGATCTCCTAAATAATTTTCATTTAATAAGCCATGTTGAGTTACTTAGTAAAATTTCAACTTTACTATAGAGTAACTACTGATAATTGTATAAGTAGCTTATTTTCGGGCAATAGAAGTTTTTACGTTTTTCTTCCAAAAAAGGAAGGTAGCTTATTTTCAGAGTAGCTTATTTTCGGGAATATACGGTATATAAGATATGTACTTATAATCTAACATTTAAAGAACAGTTTATACGAATATTAAAGTTTATAAACAAGTCTGTGCAGATTTATACTATAGTATATGTATAGCTT